ATAAAATAACTAGTAGCAAAAAGTATGAAAAGGCAACAGCAGCAAAAAGAGGGCTAAAATGTAAAAGAACTCTAGCTAAAAGTAAAAAAAAAAACACTTGCTAAAAGCAAAAATCCTAAAAGAATTAGCTAAAAGTAGCAAAACGTTAGGTAAAAACAGCAAACAAGAATGTAAAAGTACTTTAAGACCATGTAAAAGTAGTTGAACCATAGCTAAAAGTAGGGAAAATCTAGCCAAATTAGGGAAGTAACAAAACGAGTGATAAAATGTAACAGAACTCTAGCTAAAAGCTAAAAAACACTAGCTAAAGGAGGGAAAAACTAGCTAGCATCAAAAGAGTAGCTAAAAGTCTGAAGCTGAACATTAGCCTAATGCTATAAAACAAAAACACCAGGTGAAAGTAGAAAGCCATGAGGAAAAAAAATTGTTAAAAGTCGACATAAAAGTAGCTAAACTAGAGCTAAAGGTTGTAAAAAGGGGAAGTAGCAAAGTGAGGGCTAAAAGGCTGAAAAAAGCTAAAAAGAAGCAAAAAGCAAAAACTAGCTAAAAAAGCTAAAAATTAGCTAAAAGTATGAAAAGGGAAGCTTATAGATGGTAGTAGCAAAAGGACAGCTAAAGGTTTGAAGCAGGACACTAAATGCATAAAAAAAAACAGTAGCTAAAAGAAGCAAAAAAAAACTAGCTAAAAGTTTGTTTCTATAGCATCAGTTTCCTGTCATAAGTTTGTTCAATAAAGATGAAAACATTTGTGACGTTCTCATCCATGGTCTGCTGCAGGTGTTTACGGTCTTTGTGTTTCAGTGTTGGAGAGGAAGATGTCGACCCGTCAGAGCAGAGAGGAGCTCATCAAGAAGGGCTTCCTGAAGGAGGTCTACGACAAAGGTAGGAGGATTTAAAGGTCTCCTCTGTGGAAGACCAGGAGCAGGTCTGGCAGGTGGACTTCCTGTCTCCGTCTGTCCCTCTGCAGACAGCGGCTCCTCGCCGGCTCTCCAGGAGGAGGTGAGGATGGAGAACGGGCGCTCTGCGGAGCTATCCGGCTCGTCAGAGTCCGAAGGTTCGGAGCTGATGGAAGGAGCGGCGGCAGCTGTAGGTACGCAGCAAAGCCCCAAAACCTCTGACCAGGTGTCCTCTCACACCTTCTGACCTCCACCTGCTTTTCATTAAATTCAGGAACATCGGAGTTTGAAATGTCGAGTGACGGGTCGTGTCAAGAAGATCAGAGGYCCAGCCAGGCTCCGCCCACAAAGCCAGCCGACGACTCAGGAGGTCCTTCGTTACACAAGCAGCCTCCTGCTCCGCCTCCCAAACCTTTCATCTGGATACCCAATCACATCACAGGTKAGCTCAGGTTCGTTAACGCTCCCGATGGGGTTTGTCTTCGCCTCTTACCCCGGCTCCGCCCCCTTTTCCCATCCCACGCAGACGGCGCTCCCGTCAGGTTACCGTGCATGTCGATGAAATTATCACCTCCTCTACCTCCGAAGAAGCTCATGATCTCAGCGCCCGCGGGCAGCACGGAGCCCCCCGCGCTCACCTTCCAGAAGTGCCCCGCCCCCTCCGGCCACGCCTCGGCGCCGCCCCTCCCGCTGCACCCGCCCAGCCGGATCATAGAGGAGCTGAACAAAACCCTGGCCCTGACTGTGCAGAAGTTCGAGAGGTGAGAAATCGGAGCCAACTTGATTTACTGTCAAAAATGTTTTCTCATTTTTCTGTAGTTTTTACTAAATGTAAAACTGCAAAAATGCGATGAATACGTAACGCTTAAAGAGTTTAGCTGAAAACTGCTGAAGAAGCTGAAAATGTTAAATTATAAAACWGAATGTGAAATACGTTTCAGCCGACGTTCGCTGAAAGTAGGAAAAAAATATGAAAAAGTGTCAAAAACTGCTGAACAGAGCAGAAATCTAGTTTAAAATACCAGAAGTTTGATTTAGCTGAAAGATGGTTAAAAAAATAACTAAAAAAAAGCGCACATTAGCTAAAAAAAAAAAGTTGCAATTTCTGATAAAGTAGCTAAAAAAATGCTGAAAGGAGCTGAAAAACAGCTAAAATGTAGCTTGAAAACACTGAAAGTGACTCAAAGAAGCAGAAATAGCATGTTTGCCAAATTAGGCACAAAGAAGCCAAAATTTAAAAAATTTGCTGAAATCAGCTAAAAAGTAGCTGAAAATACAAAAAACTTAAATTAGCATAAAAATGCAGAAAGAAGCACAAAAATGTTAAAATTAGAAGATTAGCAGAATGGAGCAGGTGTAAAAAGCAGAAATGACTTATAAACACTTTGAATGGTTAAGGAAGTTGAGGACAGCTTTATTCATGTTCACTGAGACAAAAAGTGGCCAAAACAGCTAAATAGCTAAAATAAATAAATAAATTAAATAAAATTGCCAAAGTACCAAAAGTCTTGGCACCCCTGGAATAAATGAGCTGAATGTTTTTATATGAAATATTGAAAAAGCACATTAAAGCATTCAAACTGTTTTCTGCCTTTTTAGCCATTTTCAGATAATTTGAGCTTTTTTTCTACTTAATTCAGCTTTTTGCAATAATTTCAGCTTCTTACAGCTTAATTCAGCAAACCTGATCTTAATGCGTTTTTGTAATAATTTCAGCTTTTTAATCAAACCTTTAGCTATTTTCTACTATTTTTGGCTGCTTTAGCAATTTTACAACAAATTGAAACTTTTCTGTACTTTGTTTCTTGTTTTTCTGTGAGCTTTTTGACGCTTCGTTCGTTCTGTCGGCTGATGTCTGCTTGTGTCGACTTTTGTTTTTCTACTTTCAATAAAAATCAGCTGTTCAAATTTAGCTCATATTAACATTCTGCTATTAAGCCTTTTCAGTTTCTTTCAGCAAAAATATTGCAACAGTTGACCTCTGACGGTTGACCTCTGACGGTTGACGTCTGATGGTTGACGTCTGATGGTTGACCTCTGATAGTTGACCTCTGATAGTTGACCTCTGATGATTGACCTCTGATGGTTGACCTCTGATAGTTGACCTCTGATAGTTGACCTCTGATGATTGACCTCTGATGGTTGACCTCTGATGGTTGACCTCTGATGGTTGACCTCTGATGGTTGACCTCTGATAGTTCGACGTCTGATGGTTGACGTCTGATGGTTGACCTCTGGTGGTTGACCTCTGGTGGTTGACCTCTGGTGGTTGACCTCTGGTGGTTGACCTCTGATGGTTGACCTCTGATAGTTCGACGTCTGATGGTTGACGTCTGGTGGTTGACCTCTGGTGGTTGACCTCTGATAGTTCGACGTCTGATGGTTGACCTCTGATGGTTGACCTCTGATAGTTCGACGTCTGGTGGTTGACCTCTGGTGGTTGGCCTCTGGTGGTTAACCTCTGATGGTTGACCTCTGATGGTTGACCTCTGATGGTTGACCTCTGATGGTTGACCTCTGACCTCCCCACTGCAGCTCCATGATGCACGGCATCCCCTCGGTGCTGCTCGAGTGTGATGAGGACAAAGAAAACCTCCCCGACGAGGCGGACTACGAGGAACTGCCGGACATGTACAAAGACGAGGAAGAGGAGGAGGAAGACGAGGAGGATGATGACGAGGAGGAGGAAGAAGAGGAAGATGATGATGATGAGGAAGAAGAGGAAGAGGAGGATGATACACTCCTAACAAGTACGTTGCTGTAGTTTTTACGATATTTGAATCTGACAGTTTGTGTTTGTGGAATGTGGGCGTGGCCCAGAAGAAATGATGTCACCTGTCGCTCCTCCTGAAGGTACGCTGGCCCTGAAGGTYCTACGAAAAGACTCTCTGGCCATCAAGCTGAGCAACCGTCCCTCGAAACGGGAGCTGGAGGAGAAGAACATCCTGCAGCTGCAGTCGTACCAGGAGCGGCTCGAGTCTCGACAGCAGACCGCCACCAAACTGACCAGGTGAGCCTCCGACCAATCAGAGGGGCCGACTCTGTCAGCAGGTCAGGTGCGACCATCGAAAGCTTCTTCACACCCACGAGGTCACCAAAATCCAGAACTGTAGTGCCCATTAATGTTTGAGACAAACGACAGAGCTGCTGTGATCCACGTCCTGCAGCTGAGCTCATTTATTTTGATGTTGAGAGGTTTCACCATCAACTTTAGCTGGATTTTTTATACCTTTAGCTAGTCTTTTAATGCTTTTAGCTTTTCTTTTCATAACTTTAGCTAGTCTTTTAATGGTTTTAGCTTTTCTTTTCATACTTTTAGCTAGTCTTTTAAAGGTTTTAGCTTTTCTTTTCATACCTTTAGCTAGTCTTTTAATGGTTTTAGCTGGATTTTTATACCTTTGGCTAGGCTTTTAATGGTTTTAGCTTTTCTTTTCATACTTTTAGCTAGTCTTTTAATGCTTTTAGCTTTTCTTTTCATACTTTAAGCTAGTCTTTTAATGGTTTTAGCTGGATTTTTCATACCTTTAGCTAGTCTTTTAATGGTTTTAGCTTTTCTTTTCATACCTTTAGCTAGTATTTTAATGGTTTTAGCTTTTCTTTTCATACCTTTAGCTAGTCTTTTAATGGTTTTAGCTTTTCTTTTCATACTTTAAGCTAGTCTTTTAATGGCTTTAGCTGGATTTTTCATTCCTTTAGCTAGTCTTTTAATGGTTTTAGCTTTTCTTTTCATACCTTTAGCTAGTCTTTTAATGCTTTTAGCTTTTCTTTTCATACTTTGAGCTAGTCTTAATGCTTTTAGCTTTTCTTTTCATACCTTTAGCTAGTCTTTTAATAGTTTTAGCTTTTCTTTTCATACCTTTAGCTAGTCTTTTGAAGGTTTTAGCTTTTCTTTTCATACCTTTAGCTAGTCTTAATGCTTTTAGCTTTTCTTTTCGTACCTTTAGCTAGTCTAATAGTTTTAGCTTTTCTTTTCATACCTTTAGCTAGTCTTTTAATGCTTTTAGCTTTTCTTTTCATACTTTAAGCTAGTCTTTTAATGGTTTTAGCTGGATTTTTCATAACTTTAGCTAGTCTTTTAATGGTTTTAACAGGATTTTTATACCTTTAGCTAGGCTTTTAATTGTTTTAGCTTTTCTTTTCATACCTTTAGCTAGTCTTTTAATGGTTTTAGCTTTTCTTTTCATACATTTAGCTAGTCTTTTAATGGTTTTAGCTTTTCTTTTCATACATTTAGCTAGTCTTTTAATGGTTTGATAGATTTTTTTCATGCCTTACGTTGAAATAAGTGGTTTTAAATATTTTTTCATGTACAGTGCCCTGAGACAACGCATGTTGTAACTGAATTGAATTAATTGAATTGACACAGGTGTTAGTGTTTAGCTGGTCTGCAGCTGATGTAATACAAACATTTTGAACAGCCCAGATGTTAGGTGAAGGCTCAGTKAGTTACTGGCCTCTAGTGGTGAAACCAGAGAATACAAGGATCTAAAAGGTTTACTGTCAGAACGCAGCTTTGTTTACAACTTTAAATAAAAATAACGGCTCTGAACTCGTCTGGTTTTCAGGCGCTTGAGTCAGAGGCCGACAGCCGAGGAGCTGGAGCAGAGGAACATCCTGAAACGTGAGTCGTGTCTGTTGGTCGCCACAGAAAAGACGAATCACCTTCATTGTCTAAAAGTCCGTTTTTTTCTTTTCTTCAGCTCGAAACAAYCTGGAGGAGAAGAGGGAGATCAAACGGCACCTGTCTAAGAAGGTGAGACCATGAACCGGACCGTAATAATGTAAAAATGCAACATTTAAAAGTCAGTTTGTTTGGTTTTTTCTGGATTAATGAAAACAAAAAGGCTGTTTTTCAGGCAGTTTTTTCTGTTTTTATTATGGGGGTCCTAGAAGAAGTTAGGATCCATCTGTGGGMTATACAAAACATGTTGAATGTCAGATAATGAAATTTCACCTCTTCAGTTCTGCCCGTTCTTTAGCTCTCTTCAGAACCTGCTGTTTGCACCCCGCCCCTCCCAGCCTTTTGTTTACATTAGCTCCGCCCAGTCAACATGGCGTCCATGAAGTCAGTCAACACTAAACTCACATCACATSACTTACCGCCAGACATGTATAATGACTAAGTACATTTACTTTGTTACAGTATTTAAGTGATTTTTTTTTGAGGATTTGTAATTTTACCAAGTATTTTTTTAAATCATGACTTTTACTT